AGTCGCTAGCGCTGAGCGAGGTGGAGGATCCGCGGGCCGGAGCCCTGGGAAGCCGGGCTCGGTGGGCCCTGCCTGCCGCGGAGATTTCCCAGCCCAGCCTTCTCCAGAAGTTAGCTGCCGGTCTGCTGGTGAAAGAGACCGCGAGGTCACGTTCAGAGCGGGGCGCGCGCGCGGGGGGTGTGAATGAGCCACCAGGACACGGGTCCTGGGGACCCCAACTGGCTCTTCTCGCTTCCCTTGAACCTCAGCGTCCTCGGGTTGGAAAGAGATGAGGCCGGCACAATCTCCTCAGACATCGACGGCCCGTTCTCGACGATGTATGCAACCCAGAAATGGAAAAGCGAACAGATTAGAAGCATGAAAGGCAGGGAGAAGCCTTTTTTAGGGGGTGCAAGGCTAAGTAAGACTGTGGCGGTGTTAACTTTACTGAGATGCCTCGTCCTGCCTCAGTTTGCCTCTGACATTTACCGCCACTTTGTGAAATTCATTGATTCCCTTTCTGGAGCGGCTGCGTAACTTTCTGAATGGTACCTGTAGCTACGGTTGCCTGCCACCAGAGGGCAGTGGTGCTTTGGTCATAACTTTGGAAGTGGGTAGTGAGCCAGGAACCGAAAGAAACAGTTTACTTAATAGACCAACAGCAACTACTCTGGGATTTTGTGACATAAATGCTGTCAGCATTCTTTTAACTAAGGGGATGGAGGGCTGTGAGCACAAAACGAAATGGATTAGGCTCCACTCCAGCTTACAGGAGCAGGAAGTAAGGTTCAGAGGAAAATTATTCACCCCAGGTCATTGAGCTAGAAATGGACAAAATTGATCTAGTTGTCTCTCTAGCTTTACATTGTTGCTACTAGGACCAGCAATTTTCTACTGTTTCGAAATAGGGACTCATAGAATTGAATATGTTTTAGATGGTGAGCTTACAGCCTAGATATCTGAGGTCTCTTCTGGTTTTAATATTCTTTGATATGTGCTTAATTCAGTAGGTACTAGGGAACATTGGCCCTGGCTCTGCTTAATCCATTTGTATCTCTTTCCATGATTAGTTTCTGTGTGGTATTTTAAAACTTCATTTATTATCTTTAGCAGTAGGTTGTCTTAAAAAATCAATGAGATGGTGAATGTGGAAATAGTTTGAAGTATGAAGTGGTATACAGGTGTAAAGTCTATTTGTAGACATCACTAATTACAATTGCATGATTTTAAGGGAATATTTTCAGTTCTCTCTACACCATACCTCCAAATGTTCTTCCTGATTCAGTTTGGAAGATTGTAGGTTTCTAGGTATTTATCCATTTTGTCCATATTGTCCAATTTGTTGGCATATAGTTGTTCATAATGTTTTCTTATGATCCTTTGTAATTTCTTTGGTGCCAGTTATTTCTCCTCTTTAATTTTTGATTTTATTTATTTGAGTCCTCTCTTTTTTTCTTGATGAGTCTGATTAAAGGTTTGTCAATATTGTTTATCTTTTCAAAGAACCAGCTTTTGGTTTTATTGATTTTTACATTTTTTTAAGTCTCTATGTCATCTATTTCCACTCTAATTTTTATTATTTTATTCACTTTGGGCTTATTATTTTTCTTTTTTAAAAATATTTTATCGATTTCAGAGAGGAAGGGAGAGGGAGAGAGAAATAGAAACATCAATGATGAGAGAGAATCATTGATTGGCTGCTTCCTGCAGGCCTCCTACTGGGGATTGAACCCACAATCTGGGCATGTGCCCTGACCTGGAATCAAACCGTGACCTCCTGGTTCATAGGTCAATGCTCAACCACTGAGCCACACTGGCTGGGCAATTTATTGTTATTTTTCTAGTTCCTTTAGGTATAAAGTTACATTGTTTATTTGAGATTTTTCTTGTTTCTTGAGGTAGACCTATATTGCTATGAACTTCCCTTTTAGGGCTGCTGTCGCTGTGTCCCATAGGTTTTGGGTTATGTTTTTATTTTCAGTCTCAAGGTCAAGGTACTTTTGATTTTCTTCCTTGATCTCATTGTTGACCCATTCATTGTTTAGTAACATTTTATTTAGCTTCTATGTGTTGTTCAGTTATTTTCTTGTAATTGATTTCTAATTTCATACCATTGTGATTGGAGAAGATGCTTGATACAATTTCAATCTTCTTAAATTTATTGAGACTTGTTTTGTGTCCTAATGTGGTCTATTCTAGAAAATGTTCCATGTGTACTTGAAAAGAATGTATATTCTGCTGCATGGGGATGAAATGCTCTGAAGATATCAATTAAATCCATCTGATTTAAGAGACAGTGCGCAGGGTATTTACTGGGGGCTGGTTACATAGTCAGCCTCTGCCTGGCGTGTACCAAAATTCCACTCTCTGAAGGGGCGCAGGTATTTGGCATAAACCATGTTGTTTGTGTACAGTTAGACACAGTGAGCCACTCTTCATTTTTGAAAATGGTAAGAAACTTCCTGAAACCCGAGTTCCCAGCCAAGGGCCCGCCTTGTAAGCAAGACTTTGGAACGATAGCTAGCAGTCAGGCCTGCTACGTTAACTCTTTTCTTCACACAGGTATGAGCAGAGCTGCCATCTAAGCATAGAATATTCTTATTCTTTGTGGAATAAGAATAACAAAGCATATGTAAAAGTGGCTCCAATCTGAACAGACCAGTGATAGTCTTTTCCTTGCCAGGAGTTCCCAAACCTAGAAACTTCTACAGCTCTAGACCCAGAAAGTATTCTAGGGAAGTAGAATTCTGATCAAATAAGTTCGGGAAACATGGCATGCTAGCTCTGCCCTCCTCTAGCAGGGTCTACACAGTTGCATATTAAAAGTCTGAGAAAGTCTCTAGTATGGAACACTATTAAATTTTGTTTCACCCAGTGTCACTCTCCTTAAATGTAGTGGGGAGCCCCTCCCTGCCTTGAACATCTTTTGGGAAACACTTCCCTGCCCTATTGGTTGAGAATACCTGCCATTTTCCTGGGGAACAGAACCGACCTCCCTAGCCATCCAGTCTCTTGTGTGAGCATTATAGTCTGCTGTCAATATACTGTATGTATGTGACATAAACTGTATGCCGTTCTAACTGCAGAGTGTGGGCTCAGTCATTCTCAAAACTGTCTCCTTCGCACAAGCCCTAGTCAGAGACCCCTGCCAAGCACCGTGTGCCAGAGACATGATCTCTGCAGAGAGAACACTGGTTAACAAGGCTCGTCTCTGGTATGCTGTTCATCAGTAGAGGCAACGGTATGCTGAGTATTTACTAAGATATGTAAAGTGGTAACTTTGTCACATGCAGCATTTTTGGGTCTCCTTTCTTCTGGGAAACACTATAAATTTGAGCCCAACTTGTTTTGCTTTCTAAGTAGCCTTTTTCTGCATGCTTATAAAAAGTTTACTTATTTTTGCATAGTTATGGTTCTCCGTATTGATTTTACATGCATTTCTGTGAGCACCTCTGACCGCAGGTGGTGTTTTGTTTTTGTGTGTGTGGTTTTTTTTGGTGTTTTTGTTTTTAAAAATTATGTTTTGAGATGGTCAAAGTGTAAAGTTGCTGTTGATAGTGAGATTCTGGGCTTCAGTTGATGTAGTAGGTGAATGATAATGACCCTTGACCTCCAAATTTCTCACTTGGCCACAATTTACTTTTGGGTTTCATATTCTTGTTCTTTGAACTTTTGAGGTTCTATATCTCTGCCACGATTTTCCTTAAAACTACAATGATGAATTTGAGTTCCTAATGGTCACTTATTTATATTAAAAAAATACTTACTTTGAAGAAACTCAAAACAGTCCCTTAATTCAGTTTTGTTTCTTCCTTTCCTTTTTTGTGTCTCCTTCCTTCCTTCCTTCTTTCCTTCCTTCCTTCCTTCCTTCCTTCCTTCCTTCCTTCCTTCCTTCCTTCCTTCCTTTTTCTCATTCCTTTGCACATTCATTCACATATTTATTGAGTGCCTACTATGGGCAGTGTTTTTTACTTCTTGCAATGAATCATAAGAATAAGACACAAATGTAAGCCATAGGAGATTATGGCATAACTAGAGGCCTGGTGCATGAAATTCATGCATAAGTATGGTCCTGGGGGCTGGGAGGAGGATGACAATGACCAATGACGACTTATCAAAGATATATCAATCAGAGACTATCTTACCTTGGGCTGTTATAACAAAACTAGAGGCCTGGCACACAAAATTTGTGCGCAGGGTCAGTCCCTAGGCCTGGCCTGCGATCAGGACCATCTTCCCCAGCTGCCCCCAGCTGGCCCCACCCCCCACCACCACCCACCCCCGGTTCCCCATTCACCATCAGGTGATCGGAGCCTGCTGGCCAGCGGGGGGGAGAAACCGAGAGGTTGGCTGTTCCGCCTGCTCGCTGGCCCCGCCCCCGCTGCGGGTTACCCTCTGTGTGGGGGGCAACTAGTGGGGCAGGGGCCTTGGCCTGGCGTCACCTACATCCTCCGCCATCCATTCCCTGTTCCCTGTTCGCCATTGGGTGATTGGAGCTTGCCCGCCGGGGATAGGGACCGAGAGGTGGTCAGTGCCCCTCATAATGATTGGTCGAGCAGTCGTTCTGCCGTTAGGGTCAATTTGCATATTACCCTTTTATTATATAGGATAGAAACACTAAGAGATGGATATAAACAACCATAATGCAGAAAAATGTTAATTAAATGCCAAAAAGGAAGCAGATAATTTATTCTGGAAATTTATAGAGGGAATCATATGACTTTGGGGCATTTCAGTGAGAAGGGAAGGTATCGTTAGTATCTGTAGATCACCTGTGTGGAGGGCACAGTTGACTCCCCAGGATCATAATGACTTTTGTATGTCATGGACTAAGAATATAAGCTTTGATGTCAGTAGGACCTTTGTTTGTATAAAGGCTCTGGATTTTGCTTAAGGACATTAGGTACATTTCTGTCTCTAAGCCTCAGGTTTTCTCATCCATGGAGATAAGAATATCTACCTTCACTGGGTTACCGTGAAAATGGAATCTAATATGTGGGGAGCGTTTGGCCCATAATGCATGGTAACAAAAGCGGTAATGACTGCTGCTGGTGCTGCATTCATAGGTTGCTGCCTTTAGCTGACTGTGGAAGGCCCAACTGATGGTATGTCTAGGTATTTCGATTTGTCATCTTCGGAGCGAATATCTTCTTTTTTGTCTTAGGAGGTCAGTTTGTATGTTGGGAATATATTGTTATTGGGAATATATTGTTGGAAATCAGGGTAAATGATCCAATCTGATGCTGAATCTGGTACCTGTATCTAATAAAACATAATGTATGTTAATATTTTATGCAAGTATGTGTGTGTGTATTAGGTATGTGAATATTTGTGTGGTATTTTCCAGGTTTGAAAGGTAAGTTGCTAAGGAGATACTTTGTCATTTGCAGGTCGGCGGAAGCAGAAGTGGGCTTTGGATCCAAGAAATACCAGGTGGAGTAATGATGACTCCAAGTTTGGCCAGAGGATGCTGGAGAAGATGGGGTGGTCTAAAGGAAAGGTATTTTGGAGAAGAGCATAAAAAAGTCAGATCCATGCAAAGAGATTATAAGTCAGGAGAATGCATTTTTCTTAGGAGACTTAGAAAAATTTATGTTTTGGATCAGTAAGCGATTTTGGAGAAATAACTGAACTATAGTGATCTAGTGATGATAAAATTAGAATTGAACATAAATGTTAGCTCTCTTTATCATTTAAACTGCATGATTAGCATCTTTTAGTTGCACTTTGAATCATACTTAACCATCAGTTTTATGTTGCTAAGAGTAATACTTTATTACCCTTCATAACTAGACTACACATTTTCTACTGTTTCTCACATTCCAGTTATTCCTGACTCAAATAGGACTTCTACTGATCTCTCTACACTTAAATGGTCTTGCCAAGGTCTTTAATGATCTTATTGCCAAATCTAGTGGATGCTTCTCTGTCCTCATGTTAATTAATCCCTTAGCAGCATTGGACATCATTGACTACTTCCTTCTTGAAATAATTCTGTGTTGACTCCCACACTACTGCTTTCTCTCTCTCTCTCTCTCTCTCTCTCTCTCTCTCTCTCTTTTTCTTCTTCCTTCTACCTCACCAGCCACTCCTAATTGCTGGCTGGCTCTTCCTCCTCCTGACTATTAAGCTGTGGAGCCCCAGGCCCTTTTCTGTACTCTGCTCAGGTTAGCTCATTTATGCCAGCCTATGCTTGAATTATCTAAATGCTGAGGTTATCTAACTGTTAACTTTTCTGTATCTAGCCCAGATCTGTTCTCTGAGCCCAGGTTTATAAATGAATCTGCCTGCTTGACATTTCCACTGGAGTAGGCATCTCAAGTTTATAATTTTTATTAGGAAAGTCTTGATCTTCCAGATCTTTTTCTTCTCAACTTTCCTCATTTTTGCAAATGGCACCTATTTACTCAAGCAAGAAACCTGGGAGTCAGACTTGGCTCCTGCATCTCGCACTTTCTCTGCCCTAGTCATTACTCCTCTCTCTCCAGGGCATCCTCCTGGTCCAGCCACCGCCAGTGCTTGCTCTGATCACCATTCCACCCTGTCTCCTGCTTCCCTGCCTCCCTTCTTTTCCTCCTCGGGGCCTTACGACACCAGAATGAGCTTTTAAAATACAGAAATTAAATCATATCATTCATTAGCTTAAAAGTTCAGTGGTTTTCCACCGTTTTAAAGAAGAAGATCCAAATTTCTACCATAATTTTCAAGGTCTGAGGTCTAACCCCTTCATATCATCTTATTTCCTCTTCATTCACTGAGCTGAAGCCAGCCTGCTGGTGCCTTTTAGTTCTGCAGTATACCATGCTCTCTGGGACACCTTACAAATGAGTGTTGATACAGGGACCTGGAGTCCCTTTCTCCCTGCTTCTCAGCGTTGTTTTGTAAAATTAGTTAATGGGCAGAGCCACAGACTCATAAGACTTCCCATGGGCTTCTAATAGTTTTGTGGCAGAACTCTGATTCGGAGCATTAAATAAAGCATGTTCTCCATAGTGTCTCCCTGGTCCTTAAATTAGGTCTCAGGTTGAAGAATTTTAAGTGCATTTTTTGTGATACAGCCATATCTTATGAGAATCCATTACACTGTATTCTCTTTGAGGGCATAGTGCCCTGCTCCTAGATGTTTAGTAATGAATGGCATTGTTGATGAGGGAAGATAGAGATAATCACTCTTTATATCTGATTTAAAAAGCTAACTGTCTCTGTGTTTAATCTCCACAGGGTTTAGGGGCTCAAGAGCAAGGAGCCACAGAACATATTAAAGTTCAAGTTAAAAATAACCACCTGGGACTTGGAGCCACGATCAATAACGAAGTGAGCAACAGTGTGTCTGCTGGGGGTTTTCCTTGCATAACTGACTTTTTGTAAATATATACATTTTAAGTCGATCAAATTGATCCGTTTTTAACTGTTCAAGTGTGTATCCTCCATGTTTTGGTGAGTAAAACGCCCATACCTGAGCTGGCTCTTTACCATGTGTCCTGCCTGCTCCCTCTGCCTTATTGTCTTCGTGGGGCTCTTTCCTTGCGTATGTGTAAGAGATGCAAACTAGTTTTATTGCTAAACTTTGCAAAACGTATTCTTTTTATAGAAATACTCATTTCAGGACAGACAAGAAGTTTTACCTTTACCTGTGTTCTAATATTAGCTTATATTATTAAAAGTTGCTGACATTTAGTTTCAGAAAGAAATTTAAAGATTCTCCTGCAAGAAAGTGGTACTCTTTTCCTGTACTATTGTCTGTTTCTGACTGTTGGTGTATGGCAGTTAAATTTATTCACATTTCCTCGTAAACACTGACACTTTGTAAATATGACACTGTAATTAAAAATTAATGGCCTATCCAGTCATCATGCTTTTTATTTTCAGAATTATTTGCTTCAGACAGCATCTAAGCTGAAAGCTTTGTTCTTAATTATTTTTTAAAGTCTTTTATTTTTTTCAATATTCTTAAGTTTTTACAACCAACAGAATCTGGTAGAAAATCTGGAGAATTTCATTAGGTAAACTGAATTCCTTTGATTAGTTCAGAAGCACTGAGTGTAGACTAGATCAGCCAAATTTTCTGGACTAACAACTAAAATTTTAAAAGACTACAGAGGGAGTTTATATAAAGTTGATTTTGAAGGTAGTTGCTGAGAGATGTACAATGTACTTCATTTTTTAGGAGAAGCATTGCCCAGTAAACCTATTTAATATGCTTAACCTTAAGCAGTCTTAAAATAGTGTGTATGAGGCAAATGCCTCCATTAATACCTTCCTTCCCACTGGTTAGGTGGTTTTGGAGATGTTCCTTCTCTCTTAAAGCCAGGTTCTCTTTGTTATAATGAACTCACTAGCTTGTCACTTTACAGATGGGTGCCGATTGATTCCCGGGACTTGGAGTCCTTTCTCCTCCATTCTCCAGTGTTATTTTGTAAAAGGGGGTCCATGCCAGCAAGTAGAATTGGGCAAAATATTTAAAGTTCAAATGAGCAAAGAAGAGAGTCCCTAAGTTCATGATTGCATTTTTCCGTTGACTTATATGATTTTCCCTTAGTGAGAAAAAATTTTATTTTGCTTTATTTTAATATTTAGCATATAGGTTGCCTACTGATTATTTGACTATAAATTGACTATGTATAAGTTATCCACATTTGAAATCAGGGCTGAAGTTTCCAAGGAGCCCATTTGTAATACTAAAATAAATACATTTCATTTCAAATCTACATTATATCTTTCAAATTTATAAATATCTTGGTGAAACATTTAAAAATTCACGCTAACCACCAGATTTCCTTGATTCCAAGGTATCACTTATCTCAGCCAGTGTAGGTAAACTATAGACTTGCCTCTAATGATTTTTTTGTTTGTTTCAGGACAACTGGATTGCTCATCAGGATGATTTTAACCAGCTTCTGGCTGAACTGAACACTTGTCATGGACCAGAAACAGCAGGTAGAGGAAATCTTTGCCTTGTTATCCATTAGATTTATAAAACATAATCTCTCAATTTAAAATTTTCTTACCAACTATTTTTACTATAAGCATCACATATCCAAAAGTTAATTTATTGAAGCAATTAGAAACAGTCTTTCCTGTTTATATTTTGATAGTACTTTCATTGCATGTAAAAAGACAACACTTCTGATTTAAGAGTTTGAGAATGGCAATATAAATCCATTCAGTTTAAAGCCTCAAATAGTAAAGTGATCTTTCCAGGGTTCCTTGAATATGTCTAAAAACATTTTAAAAATACAAAGCAAGAAATATCAATTGGAACCATAAATTAGCAGCCAGCAAAGGCTTAATAGAAAAGCCTGTTTTTTGTGTTGATTCTACTTAATTAAACTGTTTTACCTTTTAATGTATTAAGAGATTCTGGGTATAGTAAAGTTTGTTGTACGGGACTCAATACTAGAAATTGTATTCCCAAGCTGTAGGAATTAGAAATGAAACAATTGGACATTGGGCTTCCCATATTAAGTTAACAGGAAGATTGTATGATTGGAGGGAAGGGGATGGATGGGTGAAACTTGTGGGGCTTTGGTATGATTTTAGAATTTAAGATAAGTTTTTTTTTATCACATGTCTATTTGGCAAGGGCATAACTTGAGTTAATTCTGCTGGATAGTCATTGGAGAAATCTAGACTATTCTTCTACAGACATTTTTTTTAAAATTGTGGTAAAATACACATAACATACAATTTACCATCTTAACCATTTTTAAGTGTGCAGTTCAGTGACATTAAGTATGGACACATTGTTGTGCTACCATTATCACCATCCACCCACAGAACTCTTCATCTTATAAAACTGAAACTCTATCCCCATTAAATACTAACTCCCCAGTCCTTCCTCCCTCCAGCACTTGGCGACCACCATTCTACTTTCTGTCTCTGAATTTATCTACTCTAGGTTATCTTATGTAAGTGGAATCATAGTATGTGTCCTTTTGTGTCTGGATTATTTCACTTAACATAATGTCCTCAAGGTTCCTCCATGTTGTAGTATCCAATGTTGTACCTTCCGTTTAAGGCTGAATAATGTTCCATGCTATGTATATACCCCATTCTGTTTGTCTATTCATTCATCGATGGACTCTTGGGTTGCACCTCTTCTCACCTCTTGGCTCTTGTGGAGGTGTAAATGTTTAGGCTTTAGTTCAGCAAACATTTATTGAGCTATGTGCTGGATATGAAGTTATAGACTTGAGGATATGCAGATGTATACGACATAATCCCTGCTTGGGAAGTAGCAGACAGGATATGCTAGTAATTGGTAAAATTGTAGCATGAATCTAACAGTGGGAAGATTTATTGTAATGCTATATATGGGAGTGAGCCCAAAAACATCAAGGGAGGTACTCTGTATTTTTGCTAATCAGATTGGACTTCTTGTTGGAATCTATAACTTGGACAGTTTTCCTTGTCCATGGTTTAACTATTAGAACTATCCAATGTGTGGTCCTAACATAAAAGATGATAGTTTGTTAGCCAAAAGAAAATGTTTTGTGAAAACACTTACTGGACTGATATTAGGAAATGCAGGATCTATGCAGCAGTAAAATTCAAGGACATTAGCCCTTACTAATTATAAACAAAAGCATCTTTATATTCAGGATCACAGCTGAAATCAAGGGAAATATAAGTTTGTATTTTCTAATCTATCTGCCTAATTTTTCTCAATGCACTTCTGAGATTTATCCCTGATGTATTATCGAAGTGCAGTCGGTGAAATGTTTAAAGTGACCCAAGAAACTCTATTATTTGTCAGGAAGGTAGTAAGTGCATGACAGATGCCAAGCAGTAGTGCCTTGTCCTTGGGCAGCCCCATCCACAGGTTCACCTTTGCAGGCTGATTCTTTTTATTTTTCCCTAAGACATAGAAGTGTCTTGAATCATTGGCTGTAGGAGAGTTACCAATCTGTAGATTGAGTTCCACTTCGAGACCACTAGAGGGTGCTGGTAGCCCTGTGACAGGGACTGGGCTTTGGTGGCCTGCTTCCTATCTAGCTCAGTACAGTTCAAACCAGGCCTTGTACCGCCAGTCCCAGTACTGAAAAGCCTTAGGAATATTCCTTTAAGGAAAAACCTGTTCAAGGAGTGGACCTGGAGAGCTAATAAATTATTTTTCTGCCATGTCATCTTTCATAAATACAGTATCTTTATTCAAGTGAATTTTTGGTCAGAGTAAAGCCAAAATTACTGTATTAGAGCTAAAAAGCAGATGACACAATATAACCCAGTAACATTTTTTTCTATAATAATATTTTTACTTCCTTAAGATTACTTACCAAATTCATACAATTTGCCTTTCAATTAAACAGAAATTCCATACTGCCCTCTTCATAGAATCTTGCAAACATCCTGGAAATAACCCTTATCTCCTTGTGGGACAGAAAAATCAGTATATCTTTAAAATTTCATTTAAAAAAAGTTATCTTAGTTAGTTCTCTCTACCCGACTCAACTTAGCTTTTTTGTAGACTTAATTTCATGGTTTTAGGAAACGTTTGTTACTTCCATCAGATATTTTGTACCTTATGGTTTTACACTGGGATGGTGATAACCTGCCATCCACAAAGGTGTGGTTTAGGACAGGGATCTTCAAATTATTTTGCTCACATATCCTCTAAGGCAGCAGTTCTCAACCTGTGGGTCGCGACCCCTTTGGGTGTCGAACGACCCTTTCACAGGGGTCACCTAACACCGTCGGAAAACACATATATATTTACATATTGTTTTTGTGATTAATCACTATGCTTTAATTATGTTCAATTTGTAACAATGAAAATACATCCTGCATATCAGATATTTACATTACGATTCATAACAGTAGCAAAATTACAGTTATGAAGTAGCAACAAAAATAATTTTATGGTTGGGGGTCACCATAACATGAGGAACTGTATTAAAGCGTCGCGGCATTAGGAAGGTTGAGAACCACTGCTCTAAGGGAATTTTGAAAAGCTGTATACCCTAGCTCACATTTTTATATCAACATCTATGTTTTTAATCATAGCTTCAAATTGTTGCAAATTGTAATTTCTGTCTTATTGGGAAATATAGGCATTTAAAAAAACACCCATTACATTAGTCCCAAATGTATTCAGTAGATAAATACCAGAGCAATTTGATACCCGTTGTCTTCTTTTTAGAAATATACAGATTACGCAGGTAGCGTGGCCGAGCGGTCTAAGGTGCTGGATTTAGAAATATACAGACAAGTCCTTAATAGTCAGAAATATTATATTTCATAGTTCCTTTTCCTCTGAAATAATATTTTGATTGTGTATACCCCATAGTATTTTATGTTAATATGTTTTTGCTTGAACTTTTAAAAATTCTTCATCCTATCATATTTCTCTGCCAGTCATTCACCCATTGGAGGAATTTTGGGTTATATCCAGTATTTTACTATTATGAATAAGGCTATTATGTACTTTGGTATATAGATTTTTATGTGAACACAAATTTTCATGTCCTCAAAGACTTATACATTTCTGGAAAATAGCCTTGCTTGATTCATAGTATACAGTTCAAGAAGAATTTCTAATCATTTGGTTAGAGTTCAATAATAAGGGACAGGGTTTCCAAAGATTTTATTTAAATAAGACCATGTCACTGTAAGAGAGTAAATGAGAATGGATTACAGAGAGGTTAATGTAATGCTTTTTTTTTTTTTTTAAGACTCCTCAGACAACAAGGAAAAGAAATCTTTCAGCCTTGAGGAAAAGTCCAAAGTCTCCAAAAACCGTGTTCATTATAAGAAATTCACAAAAGGTAAAATTAAGCATTTATTTATTTGTTATTGATACCTCTGTGTTCACTGGGTTTCTTAAAACAGTTTTAGCTCTTCGCCAGCATTACGTCTTGTTTTACGTTCAAAATGGGGAATTATGGATAGCATGACTGGGTGGATCTAAAGCGGTGCTCAAGTTTGAGTATTTATTGTTAGTCTACTGGGGATCTGGTTACAGTGCATCAGATTCATTAGCTCTGAGGTGGGGCAAAGCTGGAAGTCAACTTGCTATTTAGAGGCAAAAAGGGACTTTAAATGGCTAGGTCAGGAAATAATTCTAATTAATTGCTCAACATTTTTAGTTACATTTTCTTGTTTTTCAGAGTTTGGTGTTGGTGTTGAATAGTTCCTGACATTTTTCAATTTAGAGAATTATGCTCTGTAATAAGAACTCCAGTATGAGAAATCTCACTTCCCAGTTGATCTTTATATTATTCCACACCTTTTCTTCATTTCATGGAGTGTTAACTTAGGCACTCCTTTTCATTGCGAAGATAGTGTTAGAAAACATGTTTGAGAACTGGGTGGTAAATCCTATCTTCCTCCATCACACCTCCCCACTCCCCAATACTTGTAGTCAATTGTGCATGCAGTTGTCCTCTTTAACCACTAGGTGGCGGTCTTGTATTGTAAGAAACAATTTAAGTCGAACTCATCAACTCCCCAAATGTTTTCCCAGAAAACAGTGTTCTGTATTAAGTGCACTTTCTAGGGACAGAAGCCTATTTATTGCATAATATACTTAAAGTATTAAATATAATTATAATTTATGTTGTAATATTCAGTCACAATTTGATGGTTCTTTTATGGGAGTTTGGATATACACACCCATCTCTTTGCTTTAGTCTTGTTAACATAATTGGGAATTCCCTAACTCCTAGAACCTGCCTGAATAGCAGTGGGAGCTGAAATTCCCACCACTTTAAACTATTAATGGTGGTTCTCACTGGGGCACAGGACCCCAAAAGGTAGGAATGAGTTTGCTGTAAATGAGAGCCCACGGCAGAGCTGAATAGAGTGGGGAGCTGACTAGCGTCAGGAATGTGTGCGAGGAGACGCTGGTGCTTACTTCTGGCCCGTCCCAGTGGGTGTGGTTTGTATGGCTCTTCCTGTCATCCCTCTTTCTCTCAGGCTAGAACCTCTGTTGTTTTTCTCTGTGGCTTCCCATCAGGGTTGCTCTCCACCCCGACCTGCTACAGGACAGAAGACAGGCCTTGCTGGCCCTTCAGTCCTTTTGAGGAGAGGCTGAAGGTCAGTTCATGCCCATGTCCAAGCCCTTAAATGTCCCTCCTTTTCTCATTAGACCCTATAGAAAAAAAAAGAGACAAAGCAGAAGAGTACTGAGCAAATTCGTGACATTAAAAGTGTGCCTGTGTCTTTTGGACAGTATGGCATCCTTTTAAGCTTTCACTTTTGCAAATAAAATCTTCTAATTTTCTTTTTGTTCCCGACTACATGCATGAGTTCATCTGAAGCATTTGCTGAAGCAGGATAAACCTCATTAATCTACTTTAATCTAATGGGTGCCGGGAGTATCTGCTTTGTATTTCTCTATTTCTAGTTAAGCCACTCCCTTGCCAGGTGACCCTGTCAACTTGCTTGGTGTGTTGTGCCTTCATTCTTTCTCTTTTAAGATGAGGTACGCCTGCTTATTAGCCTCCTTGGGGAGGCGAGGACATTGGTATGCAGGGAAGAGAGTTCCAGGTATATTGTGAGAAAGTAGAGGAGACCCAGTGAGAAAACAGAAATGCAGATTGGGAATAAGTAGAAAGATGGGAGAAGGAGGCAGAAATCCAAGTAGTGAAGAAGACAACTATTTACCATCCATCTTAACAATATGCAGGGAAAGGTTATTTTAAAGTTCTTTATTTGCATAAAATAAATTTGTTCTTGTAGAGCCACTATTGTCACCGGATATGAATGATCAACTCTGTTTCCTCTAAGGTAGGCTGTCTTAGGTTGCAGGAAAGCTGGTGCTGGCCGTCACTCTCTCAGATAAATCCCTTAACCACCTTCCTTCTTTCAGACTCAGTTTCCTCTTTTGTAAAGTGAGGAAAGATTTTTAAGATATTATTGAGTTCTAAAATAGGTTCTGTTTTATGACTTATTAGTAATGACCCCATTGTATGGAACTTTTGATTGTTTAGCATTATGGATAATAAGGAAATTAGCCTGTGGGTATGCTCATAATGAAAGTAATTCACTTATTGGATGAGGATAATTCGTATTGTAACTTTGTCTGTGGTCCAGGAAATTAAAACACGGGAAGGTGGCATTTTATTTAGCTTAGTGTGACGAGTGAAGATAAAGATTTTATTTTAGTGAGATTACAGTAGCAAATAGCATTGTAAAATTTGCTGTTGCATCAGTATTGGCTACCATTTTAGTTCTGATACATTATTTCTTTCTCTAGTCCCAAGTTTATAATTTTAATTTGAAATAATTTATTAAATAATTTTAAAAGCTAATTTCATCTATATTTGTTTAAAAGCCTAACTTCAGCATGGTTTCTTTTAATTTGAAAATTGTTTGGCAATGCCATATCTGCAGAGAGGAAAAAATAGGGAAAATATCAATTTCTACAAAACCATTTTCTATATACAGTGAGCAGTTGTTGAGAGCATTGCTGCATCGCCCCCCCCCACCCCCCGTTGTGCAATGGGTGGATAAAAAGTTGCTTATTAAACTATAGTGTATAACTTCATCATGGTAATTTACTCAGAGTTCTTATCTCTGTAACTATCTGTAGTATTTGTAGTGTTTTGCTTCTTAAATAAGGAAACTGCATGTATAACACAGGTTCTGGTAGTTGTCTTGCTAGTCTGGAAACACAGACTGTGATATATCTAGCATGGTTAACTCCTCCCCTCCTACAGTTGGACTCTGCTAGTAATGGGCCTTAAGTTTCCTCTTCCGATTTTTTTTACATTTATATATAAAGTAGCACCATCTCAAAAAATTCTGACTCTTATTATCATTTCACCTTCTACTCTGATTCTTTCCCATTTCCTGGTTTCTGACATGATCCTTGCAGGGAAATTGCCATAATCTCTGTCCTAGGCTTGTCAGTCTCAGGTGTTTTCATTTAAAAAACAAACAAACAAAATATAATATTGTTTGTTTTATCCTTCTTGATTGGGGAATGCATATGAATTTTCTAAGCAAGTGAAGCTACCTACATGCCCTTTAATTTTTTATTATAATCAACCTATTTCTCAAACCTGCATTCTTTACCCTTGCCCCTGTACTCTGAGTAGAAAAACTCGGGTTTTTTGCACCTCAATTATAATACAATTTTCTCTTTAAACTTGTTGGGTTCTATGTGACTTTTGCCCTTAAACTAAAAGGCTCCAAATCTCTGTGATTCTTAAGTTCTTATGTTTTGTTTTGTTTTCATAGTGTCCTTTGCTTCCCATGTGAACTTCTTGATGTTGTACACGTGTCTGCCAATAGCAGTAACATTCCTCCCTTCCAATTTTTTACTCTGATAGATTGAAAACCTGGTACTCATGATTGTTAGGAAAACAGCTAAAATGATCATAAAGTGCTTTTTCATCTGCTCATCCTTTCATGGACCTTTGTTACATCATCTTGACCACTGGAAGCACTGTTTCCTGGTTTTTGAAATGTTATGGCCAATTGAAGATTGAGATATGCATGAACCATATCCAGACAGATAACATATTTCCTAGTCTGCTCAATTTCTCTAAGATCTAAGCTTATCGGCAGTATTTCCTGTGATTTGACTGTCATTCAGAACTGAGACCAATAAGCTTTTAAACTCTTTTTTTAATATGAATATTTTGCCTGGCTGGCTTAGTTCAATGGTTGAGCTTCAGCCTATGATCCAGGAGGTCACAGTTCAATTCCCCGTCAAGGCACATGCCCGGGTTACAGGCTCGATTCCTGGTGTGGGGTGTGCAGGAAGCAGCCAATCAGTGATTCTCATCATAGGTGTTTCTATCTCTCACTCCCTCACCCTTCCTTTCTGAAATCAATAAAAATATATTTTTAAAAATTTGTATATTTTATTTAAATGTGGCCATAAATTTATAGCATTCATAAACTATTCAACCAGAACTATTAACTAATAACTATTTCAATATTGCTTCCATCTTCCATTTTTATCTACCTTAAAGTTCCTTTCCCTTGGTCTCTGACTCTTAATTCTTCTCTGTGTTTTGTTTTCCAGATCAAGTCCCGAGCAAAGCCTGTAACAATCCTGGTTTCTACATTTACTTAAGTGAACTTTGCTAAAGGATAAAAATGTCTGATACAAGAACCAATCACCAACACTGTAGAAATGCTTGCACCTTCATTGGTACAGCTCACTGTCTCTATCAGCCTGACAGTTTTCCCTTCAATTTTGAGATTTGCTTTTTATCTCTGTGGGGCCATACTTTGTCATCCTGTTTTAAAATTGTAATCTTGCATGTACCCTCTCTTCCTGAATCCTTCTAGCATTCCTTTTAGTTGCATTGCTGTAAAAGAGATCTTTATTTGTATTTCTTTTGGAGTATCTGTACCATTTCAGAAGATAGTTTACAATAGTTGACCAATACATATTTTGAACTAAGTACAACTCCTTTTCCTTAAAATGGAAACGGCCACCCTGAATGTGGTCTGCTATGCTTCTGACAAAGATAAGACTAGATCTCTAGACCTGCTGAGGGTTTGTCCACCTCTCACCTCCACGACCCATTTTATTCCCCTCTCTTCTGGTTTATTTTCTGAGTTCCTATCTGGATGTGCTTCATTTTGTTCTAAAGTTGGTTTCCTTTGGGGTGTTTTGTCTGGGTTCTACTACATAATCTCTTAGAAGCAGGAAGCCTTCCTTTCTAGCTCTGCAGGAAAGGAGAGAGCAGCGTAGAACCACAGAGGAGCATGTTCTTCCGGATGGGAACAGGTCGTACTGACTGGACCGTTGAAATTGCTGCCTGCCTATGAAACTTGTTTTGGCACCTGGCTTTGCATTAATCGAAGGGTGTTTTGTTTTTTTAATTTCATGGAGTCACTGAGCAATATCATATTTGAATGCCCCAGTGGTAGTCAGTGAACTAGAACCTTCTGGGTCATGACATTACTTTGCCAAGTCAATTTTGCTACAAGAAACCAAGAAGTGAGTCTGACAGTGGAACTCGGGCTTCCAACTCAAAATGAAAATTCCTGTGTCTAACCCAGAGCCTACTCCCCCAGAACTTTAAGACTTACGTGTAGCAGTTACATTTTAAAAGGCATTTACCTGAAGTTGACAAATGGGAATGGATTTGGTCAACTGCTCACAGAGTATTTTTGGTAGAAGTGAAAATTCCATAAAGTGAATTTTAAATTACTTGGTTTGTGGTTTGAAATTAAGTTAGAGTTTAGCGTTTTTAATAAGAATTATGGGTCTTTTGGCCACTGCTTTTGTGAGAAGCCATTTCATCTCCTGCTTTTATTGTGTATCCTATTATTTAAAGCTAATATAGCAACCTCTTTCACCCTCATCCAATACTTTTTGTTTGCATTTATTCTTTTTAAATTTTCAGTTATTCAGTAACTGTTGAGCTCCTGTATGTCAAATGCAGTGTGTTCTCATTCATAGGTGCATGTACGGCTTTGAAGTTCTATATTCAGCAGCATTTTCTAATCTGCATTTCATGGTCCTACATAAGTAGCTCGTGTCTCCTTGAAGTCAGTAAGATCTATTTTATACCTGGGGGATCCAGAGACACAGAAATAGCATCTTGAAGGTGTGCCAGGAGTGGAGCTGGCTTTAGAATTTAGTTCTCTCAATCTCCGCGCTCTTAGTTGTTTCTACCATTAAGAGAATGTCAGCAGTCCTGGTTCTCAAACACTTATTTGATTTTTAAGTTATTTTAAAATTTAATGTTATTAGTTAATTAAAGAATTGTCGTCTGTGCAGGGGAGACAGAAGTCAGTAGTTTACAGAATTGTTTCTTTTTCAAAACTCATTTTGCTCTCAGGAGTTCACAGCTCATGTTTGTGCTCTGTGTGTTAGAAAGATTGGTGTGACTCAAAGGCACCGTGTTGTTTTTCCAGGGAAGGACCTATCATCTCGGAGCAGAACAGATCTGGACTGCGTTTTTGGGAAAAGACAGAGTAAGAAGACACCCGAGGTATTAAGCTACCATATAGCTGATATGTTCTATTTCCACAGTTTGATTTTCAACTGTGTTTAGAACTGTTTATTATGATTAGTAGTTTTCAGACAAAGTTACCAAAAAAAAAAGCCTTTTAGAGGCTTCTAA